TGGACGGAGGTAAAAGAAAACGTTCAAAGAATTGTGTCACTAACCCAGGCCGGAGGACAAAGACAAAGAGGCTGAGCATGCATGAGAAACTGGCCATGGAATTTCATGAGCACAAACTAATGTATTTAAAAGAAGAGCCTGATATGAAGATGCAAATCCTTCATGTTGAGTTGGCTATTTAGGAGGAGGAGAGAAACATGAAGCAGCACCAATGTTCTTCTTGAACCAGCACCAGTTCGGGGTCCCGATATTTCCATTTGTGAATTAAAAACCGTTTTGTTACCAATCCATGGCTATCGTTTGCTTCTATCACTTGAGATATCTTTGTTGTGAGAAGTGCTGCATAGCAAGAGCATTTCTGCAGTCGTGTCCATTTCTGTCATTGTCTGCCTCAACCATGGGAACATCTGGGTCATCCTCATCTTCAATGTGAGGATCTGGGCAGCCATGCTGTTTGAGGTAATTGTGATGCACTGCTGTTGCAATTATGACAATGCAGCATCTTTGTAGTTGAAAAAGCTATGTGTTTCTGAGACCCTGGAAACAACTCTTCCGTACACCAAACATGCGCTCCACTACACCTCTGGTGCGGATATGAACTTGGTTGTATCGTTGTTGCTCAGGTCCTATTGCATAAAGATAGGGGGTGAACAAGAAGTTGGTCTGTGCATACCCACTCTCACCAAGTATGATTCCACTATGATGTCCTCCTTCAAGCTGAGCATACAAAGAGGAGTTTTGGAAAATCCTTGAGTCATGAGTTGCACCTTTCCGATGTGGAAAACTTAAATCCGTTCTACCTCATTTCTACCAGCATGTTAAATGTGCAACCAGAGGAAAAATAAAACTCTAGACCACCTTTACTCCACACACAGAGACGCATACAAAGCTCTCCATTTGGCAAATCTGACCATAACTCTATCCTCCTGATTCCTGCTTATAAGCAAAAACTAAAGCAGAAAGCATCAGTGACTCGGTTAATAAGGAAGTGGTCAGATGACGCAGATGCTAAGCTAGAGGACTGTTTTGCTAGCACAGACTGGAATTTGTTCCGGGATTCTTCCGATAGCATTGAGAAGTACACCACATCAGTCACTGGCTTCATCAATAAGTGCATCGATGACATCGTCCCCACAGTGACCGTACGTACATACACCAACCAGAAGCCATGGATTACAGGCAACATCTGCACTGAGCTAAAGGATAGAGCTGCCGCTTTCAAGGAGCGGGACTCTAACCCGGACGCTTATAAGAAATCCTGCTATGCCCTCTGACGAACCATCAACCAGGCAAAGAGTCAATACACGCTCTCTGTAGCCGATGTGAGTAAGACTTTTAAGCAGGTCAACGTTCACAAGGCCGCAGGGCCAGACGGATCACCAGGACGTGTACTCCGAGCATGCGCTGACCAACTGGCAAGTGTCTTCACTGACATTTTCAACATGTCCCTGACTGAGTCTGTAATACCAACATGTTTCAAGCAGACCACCATAGTCCCTGTGCCCAAGAACACTAAGATAATCTGCCTAAATGACTACCGACCCGTAGCACTCAGTCTGAAGCCATGAAGTGCTTTGAAAGGCTGGTCATGGCTCACATCAACACTATTATCCCAGAAACCCTAGACCCACTTCAATTTGCATACCGCCCCAACAGATCCACAGATGATGCAATCTCTATTGCACTCCACACTGCCCTTTCCCACCTGGACAAGAGGAACACCTACGTGTGAATGCTATTCATTGACTACAGCTCAGCGTTCAACACCATAGTTCCCTCAAAGCTCATCACTAAGCTAAGGACCTTGGGATTAAACACCTCCCTTTGCAACTGGATCCTGGACTTCCTGACGGGCCGCCCCCAGGTGGTAAGGGTAGGTAACAACACATCTGCCACGCTGATCCTCAACACGGGGGCCCCTCAGGGGTGCGTGCTCAGTCACCTCCTGTACTCCCTGTTCACCCATGAATGCATGGCCAGGCACGACTCCAACACCATCATTAAGTTTGCCGACGACACAACAGTGGTAGGCCTGATCACCGACAACGATGAGACAGCCTATAGAGAGGATGTCAGAGACCTGGCCGTGTGGTGCCAGGATAACAACCTCTCTCTCAATGTGATCAAGACAAAGGAGATGATTGTGGGAGGACTGAACACGCCCCCGTTCTCATCAACGGGGTTGTAGTGGAACAGGTTGAGAGCTTCAAGTTCCTTGGTGTCCACATCACCAACAAACTATCAATTGTCTTTCAGTTCACATATAGCATTGCAGACTTTGTGGACTATTTTGCATACCGTCGTTCACCTACACCACACAAATATCCTGTTTCACGATGGAAGGTTCCAGATGCCAAAAACCTCAAGGTGATCAGTACTTGTAGGGAAGGAGGGATAGGTCTGCCTGAAGAGAGTCAGATGAAAGCCTTGGCTCAAGCAAACAAATGTCAGCTGCATTTTATTTTTGCATACGGTAACGGTTACAGAAATTGATTTAATCTAAATCATTCAGTGGGTTGCTCCTGTCTATAACCGCACTTCTGTCTGGCCTTGGTGGTGCTCTTTGAGCATTATTTAAATAGTCCAGGTAACCAATTTTCAAGGTCAACCTGGGGGCCAACATCAATTCATCTGAAGATAAACCTGCCTCTGGCCAGGTTTAATTTAAGCCTTCACTTAGATCTAGAGTAACTAATAGTCCTTCTGGAAATCTGACTTTTAAAATCTAGACTAGGGCAAGTCTGAGACTATTTTAAACCATGTCTGAGAAATGCAATATAAATTAGTACAGTGACTCCAGTTTAAAAATGCAATTAGGTATAGGTTTAGGCTTAATCTGTGTCAGCAAACCCTCCCTAACTGATTTAAAGTCACCATTGGCTTCATGGTAAAATCCCTGAGCGGTATTAAAAAGTCATACAATGTCTAAGGCAAAATATTTAACACATCAAGTGATCCAACGTCATAATGCCAGTCTGTAGTCTAGTAGGATACCTTGAGGGAACTGCAAAACTATAGACCAGAGTTCTCCAAGTCACATGCACAAATATAACCACATGTGTGCAGACCTTTGTCCTAGCCGTTTCAAATAATCAACCGACCAACCAACAAGCATGGCCTTCTGGCATGTTATCACTGGTCTGTAACAAAAGCCGGCACACCCGGGCCAGTACTCGGGACTCTCCAGGACCGTTGTTGGATAACTGTGGTTTATAGTTTGTTACTGGTGTCTGCAGATATCGTAGCAAAATATACAGTGGTGGGAAAATATAGTTGAAACTTCACAGTGTGTCGCATGGCGGGTCTGACAGCACCCATCAGGGAGTCCTGCGCCAGGACCTCGAATATCGACGGTCTGTCATCTGCAGCTGCAGTTTTCAAATGTGCACCACGTTCCGCCATGGCTGGTGTGTTCAAACACGGTTGGAAACAGGCTTAGCTTCCTAACTAGCTAGCCAAGTTGGCTACAGTGACAGCAAGTTAGCTAACAACTTTCTATACTGGCAAGTTCAAATAGATATAAACATAATTCAGCTATCTAAATACATCAATTTCGACTGATGAAAATGTGACAAGTCATGCAGAGACATCACAGACAGAACAATTAAATAAATAAATAAAATGTGTTTGTGCATGCCGCCACCTACTGTACGGTAGTGTGTGTTCAATCACGTTACATTTTGTGACGAGAGGGGGGAAATTGCACCACCAACCAACCCCACAACTATATGCCACTATTTCATAAAAATAAAAAACATCTTGTAACTCTTCTGAAGTCAAATCTCGTATACCCAAATACTTCTCTGCAGCTGCCACCACATCTATTTTCTGTGATTTACGTTCAATTTCTGCGGTACAGTTGATAACCATTGCTATGGACGCTAAGAAGCCAACCTTACTGAATATATCAGTCGTTGGCCTATCCCTCTGTGCGGGCACAAATCTACTGCTCACTGGGATCCTCTCAGGATCCCTCACCCCTGACCCATCCTCCTCTACTTTCTTCACTGCCTCAGCATACGACACCTGCGCTACTCTGGCCACTTCAACCTGCCCCTCTCGCACCGGACACTTCCGATCCCCAGCAACATGGGCATCCCTACAGTTGACACACACAACAATATCCACCGAAACTACACAGGCATAGCTAGCTATCCTCAATTATTTAATTCAAACGTGTTTCTGACCTACTCCGTGTCCCTCTGTAAACATAGTCCGGCTATTTCCGGTCGAAATGAACTGTGTTCCGGAGTTACGCCTTTCTGGCTCCGATACCCTTCACTCATTTTCTTTTTCCGGGAGTGCTCCATCTTTCCACGGCTAGCTATCGCTCTGCGGCAATCAAGGAGCAAAAACATCTTCCCAGTTCTGGAATAGCTTCACTCACCCTAGCGACGCAGTTTCTTATTGAAATTACCTCTCAAAACAAGTTTGTACCTTTCAATTTGTAATGATGATTTGCTGTGGTTTTAACGTTAACGTTATCTAGCGAGCACTAGCTACCTGGAAGTACAGAGGCCTTACAATCATCCCTAGCCAGCTAGCTAGTTTAGTAGGACAGATATTTTCCCTACTCCACGGGCCTGGGGTCACACCCAAGACAATAATTGCCTTGTAATTGGAAACACTTGTCTCTGTTGTGAGCTTTTAGCTAGATAACTACATTTATAGTAATAAATAGTATATTTACCAACTTGTTTTCCCTCGGTATTATAAAAGGCAGTAAACTGTTACAGACTAGCAAACTAGCTAACGTTAACTACCGACGTTAGCCACTAAGCCAGTGAAAGTGCTGCTGTCGTGACGTCCAGCTGATGTGTCATGGGCATGGGATGCTGTTATATTTGTGCTTTGCTTGTTCCCTCGCATTCAACTCTATAAAACATATTTAGAAGCCAAGAGTAAAGATATAGCTAGAATAATTTGTATCATAGGCCAATGATGTGTCCTTTGTGTACTCTAATGCTGGATGTGCCCTGTAACAGATTTGAAGAACAACAATGACTGACTCAAAATATTTTACAACAAATAAAAAAGGTGAGTCTTAAAACGATTAAGGGTATTGTCTTCTTCAATGACACATTGTCCCCTTGATCATGAGTGCATGCCTACCATTAGGAAAGTGCAACATAACTCTGAATGGAAATAGATTGGCTCCTACTCTCCTCACAGAAACATGATGTATGAAATTACCACTAAAGGCTGAACTGTTCATGCCAAAGCTGACAACTAAACTGACAGTTCTACCAGTGTTGCTGGATCAGAGCATCATTCTGTTGTCACACTGAACTCTTGCTTCATCTGTATCCTGTTACAGGGGAGATATTTGAGCTGAAGGCAGAGCTGAACAATGAGAAGAAAGAGAAGAGGAAGGAGGCGGTGAAGAAGGTCATTGCGGCTATGACTGTGGGCAAGGATGTCAGGTACAGTACAGCTGATTGCTTCCTGTGACACTTCTGTGTGTTGACCATTCATCCCTCTGACATTATCTAATGATCTGGCTGCAGCTTCTGCTCTCCAAACACTTCTCAGCAATTATTTTTACTTTAATGTACAAGAGATTGCCTACTTGTCTATAATTGGCAAGTTATGTATTATAATCTCTATTATTAATGGTATGCTCCCTGATATGGCATTAATGCACTAAGTAAACAGGATTCTGGGTAAATTTCCGCAATAATTTAAGCATTGAAACACAAGGCTAAACTTCTCCGCTGTTTTGGTCCCGTTGCTACCACGTTGTAACAGCCTGAAGTGAATCCGTGCCCATGCGCAGATACTGTGTGAGAGCGAAGTCTTGCATCTCGCTCATCACAATATCTGCGGTGCTTCTCGTGGCAACGTCATTTCGCTGAGTCTACCTTTAAGGGAAATCAAAAGATTTTTAAATGCAACATTTTCTGACTTGATATGTAGTTACCATCGGCTAACTGTCAACATATGGTGTTTTGTAGTTATGACCTAAAATTGTCTGTCCTTTAGCTCCCTCTTCCCAGACGTGGTGAACTGCATGCAGACTGACAATCTGGAGCTGAAAAAGCTTGTCTACCTGTACCTGATGAACTATGCTAAGAGCCAGCCTGACATGGCCATCATGGCTGTCAACAGCTTTGTCAAGGCAAGGCCTTTTTTTTTAAAATATATTTATAATGGTATTTTCTGATTTTATTAAACCCGTAGAGAGAGAGAGGATGACAGTGGGGAAAGATAGTGAGATGTTGTGTCAAAGGGCAGTAGGTTGGATTAAAACCTACGCCGACACTGTAGACATGTATGCCAGAGCCTGCAGCATTACCTACAGACCAGGCAAGGCCTTTTATTTTACATAAAAATATACATTTACATGGTTTTCCACTTACTTTGGCTGTTGACTGTAAGTCGCTTTGGATAAAAGCGTCTGCTAAATGGCATATTATTATTATTATTATTATTATTAACATATTACACAGCCTAGCCATTGCAATACTGTACTTCCCCATCCATATATATCTCACCTCTCTCTCCCTCAGGACTGTGAGGACCCTAATCCCCTGATTCGGGCCCTGGCTGTGCGCACCATGGGCTGCATCCGCGTGGACAAGATCACAGAGTACCTGTGTGAGCCGCTGAGGAAGTGTCTAAAGGACGAGGACCCGTACGTGAGGAAGACGGCGGCGGTGTGCGTGGCAAAGCTCCATGACATCAACGCCCAGATGGTGGAGGACCAGGGCTTCCTGGACTCCCTCAGGGACCTCATCGCCGACTCCAACCCCATGGTAGGATAGGCTGGCATTAGGCCCCTAGGCACAGCCTAGACTATGTACATGTCAGGCGAAATTCTCAGACTTCGTTTACATTTCTTATACACTTCGGGGGTAATTTAAAAACAGCCTGTAAGGGTGTTGTTCCAGGACCTGTTTTAACTGTTTCTCATGATTAACCCTATTTCCCCAATGAAAGGCCATTGCCAGACAAGACAGACCACTGATCTCTGACCACTGATCACTGTGTCTGAACCTCCAGGTGGTGGCCAACGCAGTGGCAGCTCTGTCTGAGATCAGTGAGTCCCACCCCAACAGCAACCTGCTGGACCTCAACCCCCAGAACATCAACAAGCTGCTGACGGCCCTCAACGAGTGCACCGAGTGGGGCCAGATCTTCATCCTGGACTGCCTGTCCAACTACAACCCCAAAGACGAGCGCGAGGCCCAGAGGTACGCACACATCTTTTGTCGTCACCTCAAACGAAGTAGATTAATTTAGTTAGTTCTGTTATCATTCTGAAAACGTTTTGGATTTTCCGGTTTCTATAGAAACTGAACTGAAAGCTGATTTTAGTCAGAGTAACAGGTAGCTTAGTGGTTAAGAGCGTTGTGCCAGTAACCGAAAGGTCGCTGGTTCTAATCCCAGAGCCGACTAGGTGAAAAATCTGTCTGTGCCCTTGAGCAAGGCACTTAACCCTAATTGCTCCTGTAAGTCGCTCTGGATGAGAGCGTCTGCTAAATGACAATAAATGTAAATATATACACTACCGTTCAAATGTTTGGGGTCACTTAGAAATGTCCTTGTTTTCGAAAGAAAAGCACATTTTTTGTCCATTAAAATAACATCAAATTGATCAGAAATACAGTGTACACATTGTTAATGTTGGAAATGGCTATTGTAGCTGGAAACGGCTGATTTTTAATGGAATATCTACATAGGCGTACAGATGCCCATTATCAGCAACCATCAGTCCTGTGTTCCAATGGCACGTTGTGTTTGCTAATCCAAGTTTATCATTTTAAAAGGCTAATTGATCATTAGAAAACCCTTTTGCAATTATGTTAGCACAGCTGAAAACTGTTGTGCTGATTAAAGAAGCAATACAACTGGCCTTCTTGAGACTAGTTGAGGATCTGGAGCATCAGCAATTGTGGGTTCGATTACAGGATCAAAATGGCCAGAAACAAATAACTTTCTTCTGAAACTCGTCAGTCTATTCTTGTTCTGAGAAATGAAGGCTATTCCATGCGAGAAATTGCCAAGAAACTGAAGATCTCGTACAACGATGTGTACTACTCCCTTCACAGAACAGCGCAAACTGGCTCTAACCAGAATAGAAAGAGGAGTGGGAGGCCCCGGTGCACAACTGAGCAAGAGGACAAATACATTAGAGTGTCTAGTTTGAGAAACAGACGCCTCACAGGTCCTCAACTGGCAGCTTCATTAAATAGTACCCGCAAAACACGGTTGGGATGGTGTTCTTCGGCTTGCAAGCCATCCCCTTTTTCCTTCAAACATAATGATGGTCATTATGGCCAAACAGTTCTATGTTTGTTTCATCAGACCAAAGGACATTTCTCCAAAAAGTACGATCTTTGTCCCCATGTGCAGTTGCAAACCGTATTCTGGCTTTTTTATGGCGGTTTTGGAGCAGTGGCTTCTTCCTTACTGAGCAGCCTTTCAGGTTATGTCGATATAGGACTTGTTTTACTGTGGATATAGATACTTTTGTACCTGTTTCCTCCAGCATCGTCACTGCTGTTCTGGGATTGATTTGCACTTTTCGCACCAAAGTACGTTCATCTCTAGGAGACAGAATGAGTCTCCTTCCTGAGCGGTATGACGGCTGCATGATCCCATGGTGTTTATACTTGCGTACAATTGTTTGTACAGATGAACGTGGTACCTTCAGGCGTTTGGAAATTGCTCCCAAGAATGAACCAGACTTGTGGAGGTCTACCATTTTTTTCAGAGGTTTTGGCTGATTTATTTTGATTTTAACATAATGTCAAGCAAAGAGGCACTGATTTTGAAGGTAGGCCTTGAAATACATCCATAGGTACACCTCCAATTGACTCAAATGATGTCAATTAGCCTGTCAGAAGCTTCTAAAGCCATGACATAATTTTCAGGAATTTTCCAAGCTGTTTAAAGGCACAGTCAACTTAGTGTATGTAAACTTCTGACCCACTGGAATTGTGATACAGTGAATTATAAGTGAAATAATCTGTATGTAAAAAATTGTTGGAAAAATTACTTGTGTCATGCACAAAATAGATGTCCTAACCGACTTGCCAAAACTATAGTTTGTTAACAAGAAATTTGTGGAGTGGTTGAAAAACGAGTTTTAATGATTCCAACCTAAGTGTATGTAAACTTCCGACTTCAACTGTAGATATTCCATTAAAAATCTGCAGTTTCCAGCTACAATAGCCATTTACAACATTAACAATGTCTACACTGTATTTCTGATCAATTTGATGTTATTTTAATGGACAAAAAATTGCTTTTCTAAGTGACCCCAAACTATTGTAACGGTAGTGTATAGTGTGCTACCAGGTACCACTACTACTAATAATAATACTAATAATAATACTTGTAATAATAATAAAAAAATCCAAAACACACAATACAGACAACAATCAAAGCTATATACAGGTGTCGCAGATCCGGAGGACATGAACAGAATTAGCAGAGGTCCTTGAAAGCTTTTCTGAACAGCATGGTCTTGAGCTGTGCCTTAACTGAGGACAGAGAATTTGCAGCCCTAATAGTGTCTTGAAGTGCGTTCCACAGCCGCGGAGCCTCGCAAATGAAAGCCCCGTCACCCATAGTTTTTAGTCTGCTGCGGGGCTGCTGAAGGGAGATGAACCTGGTGGAGCGAAGGGTGCGCTTGGGGCAGGAGAGTAGAATGAGGTGGACAGGTACTTGGGTCCAGAGTTGTGGATAGCTTGGTAGGTGTGAACCAGGATATTGTAGTCGATTCGTGAGCATATGGGGACCCAGTGGAGGTTGAACAACACTGGAGTGAGGTGCTCGTGGGTGGAGGTGTGGGTGAGGACACGTGCACCACAGTTCTGGAGATATTGTAGCCTGTTTAGGCACTTGGCATATGCGCCAACAAAAAGGGCATTACAATAGTCCAGATGGGATGAAATAAAGGATGAGTGGCTCAGCTGCAGGTTGTGATGGCATAGTAACCTGCCAATGTTCTGTAGATGGAAAAATGTGACTTTGGTCATACTCTTGATGTGGGCCTCAAACGAGAGGTGACTGTCAAATATCACACCCAGGTTGTGAACCCCACTGGAGGGGGTGACCTTGACACCATCAATATTGAGGCTGTAGCTGCTGATGTTGTTTATAATTGTGCGAGTGCCAATCAGGATGAACTGCAGGAAACTCCACTGCATCCACGCTTTGATGTCCTGCAGGCAGCTGACCAGGAGTGCAGTGGCAGTGTCAGTGTTTGTGGAGACATACAGCTGAGTGCCATCAGCATAAAAGTAAACCCCAGTCCGTGTTTCCTCAAGATGTTTCCCAGTGGCAGCATGCAGATACAAATCAGTAGTGGCCCCAGGACCAAGCCTTGAGGGACCCCTTGTCAGACCACAACTGTGTCTGACCTACTAGGACAGATGGCTACAAACTGGTAGCGATCAGTGAGAGAGTTCAGGACGGTGTCTGACAGGCCCAGGAGCTTCTCCATGCAGTCCAGTAGGATGGCATGGCTGACCGTGTCAAATGTGCACTAAAATCACTTATGGTGTTGTCAACTTTTAATGCCTTTGTAATATAGATTGCACTAATAAACCCATCTCTACTCCTCTTTCTCTCCCAGCATCTGCGAGCGGGTCACGCCCCGTCTCTCCCATGCCAACTCGGCAGTGGTGCTGTCGGCCGTCAAGGTGCTGATGAAGTTCCTGGAGCTTCTGCCCAAGGAGTCGGACTACTACAACACCCTGCTGAAGAAGCTGTCCCCACCGCTGGTCACCCTGCTCTCTGGGGAGCCAGAGGTCCAGTATGTGGCCCTCAGAAACATCAACCTCATCGTCCAGAAAAGGTCAGTGGGCAACTTACACTCAACATTAATGCTAAGTTATTGCTAGCCTCCAAGGGATCAGGGCTGGAATGTAGCAATCCATCAAAATGTGTTTAGTTTATCCCTTTCTAAATGAATCCTCAGTGATGTGGAATTTGGTGTTGGATAAGGCCCAGTGCAGTCAAAAACGTGATTTTCCTGTGTTTTATATGTATATTTCCACACTATGAGGTTGGAATAATACTGTGAAATGATGATAATGCCCTTTTTAGTGTAAGAGCTGTTTGAAAAGACTGCCTGAAATGTCAGCCTGTTTTGGTGGGATGGAGTTTTTTCCTGCCTGGTGACATCACTAGACGGTAAACCAGTTAATCAAATCAAATCAAGCTCTATTTATACAGCACAATTCAGACATGGAATGCAACGCAATGTGCTTCACAGGAAAAAACAAAAATATAAAACAATGAAAATAAAATAAATATTTACTACACAACAAACATAAGAGGATAAAAAACAAAATAACAATACAAATTTAAAGAGTAAAAAGCACCCTAAGGAAAAGCAAAGCTAAAAAGGTGTGTTTTATTATCTCTTTTAAATATGTCCACAGTTTCGGGCCCCCCTCAGGTTCTCTGGCAGGCTATTCCAGAGGCTGGGGGCATAATAACTAAAGGTTCCTCTCCATGCCTCTTGGTCCTAGACTTTGGGAAAGTTAAAAGGACAGAGGACCTGAGAGACCTACTGGGTGCATAACTTAAAAGCATGTCTGACATGTATTGGGGTGCACAATTGTGGATTGATTTAAAAAACAATAAGATAATTGTAAAATTAAATATAAAACTCACAGGCAGCCAGTGCAGAGACCTTAAAACTGGTGTAATGTGTGCTCTCTGTCTGGTCTTGGACAGTACTCGTGCTGCAGCATTCTGTATGTTTTGTAGTTGACCAATAGCTTTCTTGGGTAGACCAGACAGGAGAGCATTACAGTAGTCAAGCCTGCTTGTAATAAAAGCATGGATGAGTCTCTCTGTATCAGCCTGAGAGAGAAACGGCCGCACTTTGGCAATGTTCCTCAAGTGGTTAAAAGCTATTTTGGTCACATTCCTAATGTGTGATTCGAAATTGAATTCAGAATCTAAAATGGCACCCAGGTTTTTTTACCTGGTGTTTTATCTTTATTGCCAGTTAATTAAAATGTGCGACCAGATTCTCTCTGTGCTTTGGCTCCAACAATAAGTACCTCGATCTTGTATTGATTTAGCTGGAGGAAGTTGTGAGCCATCCCAAGTATTTAAGTCACTAATACAGTCCAATAATTTATCAGTGGAGCTAAAATCCTCTGGTGACACAGAAACTTAAAGTTGTGTATTGTCTGCGTAGCAGTGAAAATCAATGCTGTGCTTTCTGATAACGCTTCTAAGGGGTAACAAACTGTATATAAACTGAACAGTACCGTACCCAAAATCGAACCTTGTGGAACGCCACGTGATATGTATTTTCTCTGAGTTAATTTCACCAAGGGTGACAAAAAACTCTCAACCAGTTAAATAGGTGCTAAACCAATTAGAACTGGACCGGAGAGGCCAACCCACCTCTCCAGTCTGTCCAGAAGGACATAATGTTCAACAGTGTTGAATGCAGCACTTAAATCCAAGAGTACAAGGACAGAGAGCTGTTTGGCATTTGTGTTGGCACAAAGATAATTTACCACTTTAACTAAGGCTATCTCTGTGCTGTTGTCGGCACGAAAACCGTTTTGAAGAAGGTGGTGGGGATAGGATCGAGAAGGCAGTTAGAAGGCTTGAGTTATCACTTTCCTGAGCATGTCTGTGTCAACCAGGGAAAATAAATCCATAGTGCCTTTGCGTGGTAGGCTAGGGCACATATCATCAAACTTCTCATCAGGTCTTGCTTGACTGTTACCCAGGCTAATGTTTGTTATCTTGTCTCTGAAATATGCCGCAAACTCATCACGTTTGGAAAGTTCACACAGGTTTGCGGGGGTAGGATTTATCAGGCCATCAATGGTCAAGAAGAGCACTCTTGAATTATTCTGATTATTAGTGATCAAGTTAGAAAAATTAGCCCGTCTGGCATTTCTAATTGCTTTGTTATATATGCCAAGTTGCTCTCTCAGAACATCATTATGGACCTGCAACTTTGACTTAATAGACCAATAAGAAAGTTAATTCCAAACCTCCCTGCCAATAACAGCTAGTTTTTGGTTTTCCCCTCCCGCTCAGACCACTCACAGACAATCCTAGTAAAATTCTTGCTTGAGAAATTGCTCTATGCAAAGAAGGATTTAAAAAATATATATATATTTAAGGCATTAAAATTAATTAATTTTTACACAGAAATTATTTGATATTGAGATAAAAGAGGCTGCATTGGACCATTTTATGTCTTGGCACCATGTTTTCGTTTTGTGTCCTCCTCACTTCCTAGCCACTAGATGACAGCATTTCTCTTCCAATGTACCCTTCCCATCTCTCAGCTCTGTGGGTTCAGATCAGGACCACATAGATAGACATACAGTGGCTTGCGAAAGTATTCACCCCCCTTGGCATTTTTCCTATTTTGATGCCTTACAACCTGGAATTAAAATAGATTTTTTGCATGCAATAAAATGCAAATTAATTACTTAAAAATCATACAATGTGATTTTCTGGATTTTTGTTTTAGATTCCATCTCTCACAGTTGAAATATACCTATGATAAAAATTACAGACCTCTACATGCTTTGTAAGTAGGAAAACCTACAACATCGGCAGTGTATCAAATACTTGTTCTCCCCACTGTATGTGGCTTCTGAAGGTAATTGGTTGCACCAGATCTTATTTAGGGGCTACATAGCAAAGGGGGTGAATACATATGCACACACCACTTTTCCGTTATTTATTTTGTATAATTTTTTTTTTTCATTTTTTTTTTCATTTCACTTCACCAATTTGTACTATTTTGTGTATGTCCATTACATGAAATCCAAATAGAAATCCATTTAAATTACAGGTTGTAATGCAACAGAATAGGACAAACGCCAAGGGGGATGAATACTTTTGCAAGGCACTGTATAGAGTTGTTCTGTTCCCATTATAAATGTAATCTCTACTATTTAGGCCTGAGATCCTGAAGCAGGAGATCAAGGTGTTCTTTGTCAAGTACAACGACCCCATCTACGTCAAATTGGAGAAACTGGATATCATGATTCGCCTGGCCTCCCAGGCCAACATAGCCCAGGTACTGCTCATGGATCCCCATACCTCAGTGAATGGAAGTCTATATTAGGGTGTTCACTTCTCATGATTTGCTGTACATCATTTTATACTTAGTCACTCTACACAGAAAACCATCTTTGTACCATTTTGTGGAAGCTAGCTCCATACTGTATATGCTTTGTTTGTTTTTCATACTGTATCCATTTGACTTATAATAATGTTATTGGCCCACAAAAAGATACAGTTTTGTTAACATAACAACATGGCCCTTAGAAAACAACAGGAGCTATCCCAGATTTGCATTCGTCTGTTCAGCCACACCAAAACACTGAGTATACCAAACATTAGGTACACCTTCCTAATATTGAGTTGCCAACCCCCCCCCCCCCCCCCCCCCCCCCCTTTTGCCCTCAGAAAAGCCTTAATTCATCGGGGCATGGACTCTACAAGGTGTCGAAAGCGTTCCAAAGGGATGCTGGCCAATGTTGACTCCAATGCTTCCCACAGTTGTGTCAAGTTGGCTGGATGTCCTTTGGGTGGTGGACAATTCTTGATACACACGGGAAACCGTTAAGTGTGTAAAACTCAGCAGTGCTGCATTTCTTGACACAAACCGGTGCGCATGGCACCTACTACCATACCCTGTTTAAGGGCACTCAAATTTTTTGTCTTGCCCATTCACCCTCTGAATGGCACACATATACAATCCATGTCTCAGTTGTCTCAAGGCTTAAAAATCCTTCTTTAACCTGTCTCCTCTCCTTCATCTACACTGATTGAAGTGGATTTAACAAGTGACATCAATAAGGTATCATAGCTTTCACCTGGATTCACCTGGCCAGTCTATGTCATGGAAAGAGCAGGTGTTCTTAACGTTTTGTATACTCAGTTTATATTGAAGACTTATTTCAACAGACATGTTCACATCCCAATGCGTCACTCCTAATCAGTCTTAGCTGGTACTCTTGACAGGCGTGCAGTCAAATAATGCCTTAATGAACACACGTTTTGGACAGTGGATGTGCTTGCTTCCTTCGCTGTTAAGAGCCAAGCTTTGGCTTGGGTAGCTTAGCCTTGGATGCATACATAATTCACCCAACCTTAACCTTGTCTCCTCAAATCATTCTCTTACAATGTCAATACGTTTGCTTGTCCTCCCACCGTGTCTGTGTGACTGTGTGTGTGTGTCATGTTTTTCACTCAAATGCCCGGCTCTCTCCCCAGGTGTTGGCTGAGCTGAAGGAGTACGCCACCGAGGTGGACGTTGACTTTGTGCGCAAGGCAGTGAGAGCCATCGGACGCTGTGCCATCAAAGTGGAGGTAGGAATCCGAGACACCGTCATAGACAGACACAGAGAGGCTCTCTGATCAATGTCTATCTGAACTTCAGATGTTATAGCTGTTCCATAAAAGTGGCATCCAATCTTCTAAAGTTGTTTGAGGGATTTTAAACGAGGTAATTTGGCCACTGATTAAAAAAAAATCTGTGTTGGGTCAGGGTTGACTTTGTTCCTGTTGTCTCTCTGTTAGCAATCTGCTGAGCGCTGTGTGAGCACCCTGCTGGACCTCATCCAGACCAAAGTCAACTATGTGGTGCAGGAGGCCATTGTGGTCATCAGGGACATCTTCCGCAAATACCCCAACAAGTAGGTGTCCTTTTCCCTCCATCCCCGATAATTATAATCTTTCCTCATTAGGACCTATACCGCCCCTGTCTGTGTCCATCCCAAGGCCCAGACAGACACTAGTATTTACCCTGACCCTTTGTGTTCTCTCTATCTCGTCAGATATGAGAGCATCATCGCCACACTGTGTGAGAACCTGGACTCTTTGGACGAGCCGGATGCGCGTGCCGCCATGATCTGGATCGTGGGCGAGTACGCTGAGAGGATCGACAACGCTGACGAGTTGCTGGAGAGCTTCCTAGAGGGCTTCCACGACGAGAGCACCCAGGTCAGTTGTCCCAGAGCAGAGCACCCAGGTCAGTTGAGGTCAGCAATTTCTAATCTAACTACCCCGCAAGACCCTTAATATAAATCTGAAAAGATTGGATCAATGTTTCACCTTGTTGGTTTCATTTGACAATCTTAATGCCAGATGGCCTTGATGTTGTCTTTGGGACCTTTACACCCTGCCTGGAAATGAAACTAGGGCAAAGACTGGATTGAATATGGTAATAGCGCCACCTTGCCCTTGACTGTAATTTCTGCTATATTGCTTTCATTAAAGCCATCCTTTCAGATCTACACGTGCCTTGGGGCTAGGAGTTGATTTGGCCCCGCCCTAAAAATAATCACCTTTATTATCAGGGTTAGACAGACACTATCATTGTTTGTACAGGTATGAGGTTGGGTCAGACCATTGACAGTCTTGGGGGTGTGTTGTGTTTCAGGTCCAGCTCACTCTTCTGACGGCCATCGTCAAGCTATTCCTCAAGAAACCCTCTGAGACTCAGGAGCTGGTGCAGCAGGTCCTTAGTCTGGCCACACAGGTGACAGAGACACACACAGAGACACACCAATATGTCTCCCTCTTTTGCTTCAAACTGTCTCAAACTTAAAATCACCACTGTCTATTCACCACTGTGATTCCTTCCCCTTGTGTCCTCCTAGGACTCTGACAACCCTGACCTGCGTGACAGGGGTTACATCTACTGGCGCCTGCTGTCCACCGACCCGGTGACTGCCAAGGAGGTGGTCTTGTCCGAGAAGCCCCTGATCTCAGAGGAGACGGACCTGATTGAGCCCACCCTGCTGGATGAGCTCATCTGCCACATTGGCTCCCTGGCCTCTGTTTACCACAAGCCCCCCAACGCCTTCGTGGAGGGTAGCCACGGCATCCACCGCAAGCACCTGCCCATCCAGCACGGCAGGTGAGACACAGTTACCAGGAAGTTACTCAGTTACCTAAGTCCCAGGAAGACAGACACTCACCTAACCCCCTAACAAAGCTTCCCTCCCCCTCTAGCACAACAGATAGGCTATCATTGCTTACACACAAATACCAACATCTGCTCCCCCATAGTGGGCGTGGCAATGGCGCTGTCTCCGGCCTAAATTTAGAGGCCATCCTCTTGGATGCAGATACATAATGTTGCTGCTTTAAAGCTAAAGTTTTGCCATGGGGCAGCGAGAAGATTAGTTTTAAAGCTAATTTCCTGCAATTCTACACATTTTGTAATGGGGCTGAGAGAACATTTATGCCGTCTTCTTATGCTATCTGAGGGACTCAAACATTATAACAAAATCAATGGGGGCCCCATGCCATGACATTTTTTAAACTGTCTAGTTTTTATTTAGGTGATTGTTAGTTCTCAAAGATGATCTTATTAAAGCATATATATCCAATATATTTTTATATATATTTTTTTTATATCTGTTTTGAGTCGTACACGAGGGGGGTATCATATTTCTGGAAGTGGTGGCAACGATTTAGAAGTGCTGCTAAATGAATATAGGGGAAACACTGACATACATGCATCTCTATGTGCCCTCCTCTCTTCCCACCTCTCAGCATTGACACAGGCGAGAGCCCGGTGAGCGCAGGGCCAGCGGCCCCCATTGAACAGGCCCAGTCAGTCATCCCCTCCCAGGGAGACCTGCTGGGAGACCTGCTCAACCTGGACCTGGGTCCCCCCGTCAATGTGCCGCAGCAGTCTTCCATGCAGATGGGCGCCGTCGACCTGCTGGGCGGAGGCCTTGACAGCCTGGTGAGTGACAGACACTCACACACAATTGCAAACAACAAAGTGATTTATTTTGGTTGGAATGGTGGGATTGTCAATGTAGTCCATGAGGGATCAATAGGATAGTGCTCTCCAGATTGTTTCATTGTGCCATGAACAATAAAACGTTGAATGATGTCGTGTGATTGTGCAGGTTTCCTAAGCAGGGTAGGCTTTTCTCAGGCTTTTCTCCTAAGATATTGTAGGGACGCAGAGGAATTCTAGAGGGCATTTTAATTGCATCTGCGTATTACTAGGATAACTGCAGGTTTTGGAATGCATCAGTGACAGTGGTACATGTTCCTGTCAAATAATCTGAAGGTGTAGGCCTAAGCTTTACTGTGGAGTGAAAAGGTAGAGTTTTTGCTGTGGAATGGCAGTGTTGTCAGATGTCAATGCTCTGGTCATGCTGCTGGAAGACTCCTTGGCGACATCAAACTCATCGATATACAGTGCCGTGAAAAAGTATTTCTCCCCTTTCTGATTTTCTCTATTTTGCATATTTTTGATACTGAATGTTATCAGATCTTCAACCAAAACCTAATATTAGATTAAGAGAACCTGAGTTTACAAATAACAACAAAAATGTTATTTTATTTATTTAATTAACAATGTTATGCAACACCCAATTCCCCTGTGTGAAAAAGTAATTGCTCCCTTACACTAAATAACTGGTTGTGCCACCTTTAGCTGCAATGACTGCAACCAAATGCTTCCTGTAGTTGTTGATCAGTCTCTCACATCGCTGTGGCCCACTTTTGCATGCAGAACTGCTTTAACTCAGCGACATTTGCATGAACTGCTCGTTTTACGTCCTGCCACAACATCTCAATTGGGATTAGGTCTGGACTTTGACTAGGCCATTCCAAAACATCCAATGTGTTGCTTTTTAACAATTTTCATGTAGACTTGATTGTGTGTTTTGGATCATTGTCTTGCTGCATGACCCAGCTGCGCTTCAGCTTCAGCTCACAGACGGATGGCCTGACATTCTCCTGTAGAATTCTCAGATACAGAGCAGAATTCATGGTTCCTTCTATTAAGGCAAGTTATCCAGGTCTTGAGGCGGCAAAGCATCCCCAAACCATCACACAGGGTTTGCACAAGGTGCTTGAGGTGCTTAAAGTACTTGAATTTAATTCAAGTACTGGAATACCTTGAAAATCAGACATTTTCTCAAGTTGGTACTTCAAAAGTACTTGAATTAAAATAAGATGAGAACAGATAAATGATCAGATATATTTATGAAAAATATTATAGAAATGTATTGGTCTTGCAAATTAATTTCCAGGCAAACTACCGAGTTTTATTTCCTCACGTGTTTCGCGCTGTGGTTGCCAGGCGATCTCGCTAATTTCACCCACACTGCCAATCATGCAGGTACAGAACTGACTGATTAGGCGCCGCCAAACATCACATCGATAGCTACAACGCCGGGAAAATGTAGATTCAATCCTGCCTTTTGTGCGTATGGAAAATATCTGGGTTCTTTTATTTCAGCTCATGAAACATGGGACCAACACTTTACATGTTGCGCTTTATATTTTTGTTCAGTATAGTTTACCCACCTTTTTTTACCACTACATCCCTGGACCCAACCAACCCACACCGTGTAAGGTGCAAAAAATGTGTCAGACTTTGACATTGCAAGCATGGGTGAGTCGGCCCTGAAGAGCCACATGAAGGGGGAAAGACACAACGCTGCATTCTCAGTTCTACATTGTGACTTTTTCTCTGCAACAACCTCCAGAACTTTTTTGCCAATCGCCTCATTCACAAGGCGCCCGCTATATTCCGCTTTATCAAGTGGTAGCCATGCTACTGCCTTTCTGGTGGCCATTCACGTGCCGTTTTCCTCACACAGCCCACCCAAGATGGGCGACACTAAAGCTGCCAGTCGGAAGCAAGACGCTCTTTCGTAGCTATTAAGTAGTAGATTCCCAAATGTCCAATAAAAACACAGTCATTACATTTTACATTTTAGTCATTTAGCAGAAGCTCTTATCCAGAGCGACTTACAGTTAGTGAATGCATACATGTATTATTATTTTTTTTTTTTTTTTTTCATACTGGCCCCCCGTGGGAAACAAACCCACATCGCTGCCGGCCAAACCCTCCCCATTAAGCTGGAATTGTGTGGTAATGTGAATAGGAAATGTGTGTTCATCAGTAGGCATGTCCCAATTCTATGCCCATCACTACTCAAATTACAAAATCATCAGTACTGGCTTACCACTTATGTATGTAGTAAATAAGTAGTGAAAGAACATATTGTTGAGTATAATTTTTTATTTATTTTTTCATGAGGTTGTGCCGATATACTGCCATTCGGTGGTGACTAGAAACAATTGCATAATATGAATTACGGTCATTGAAAATAAATATTAGTGCTTGAAAAAGTACTTGAAAGTCCTTGAATTTGACTAGCCACTGTCTGTACAAACCCTGATCACACTACCACAACCATGCTTGACTGTTGGTATGAGGTTCTTGCTGTGGAATGCTGTGTTTGGTTTTCGCCAGGCATAATGGTACCCATAATGGGATCCACATTCTGGCTGACACAGCAAGGGTGATGTATGCTGAACTGCGGCCACAGAGAGACACTCTGTCTGTCAGTGAGAAGCCTGCCTCCCTGTCCCTGATTGATCTGCCAGAAACTAGTACAGAGAGGCATACAGGCCAGGGACGTCACGATGCGGCTTCACACTGACATCTCAATACAGCAGAGACCCGAGGCGGAGGCTTGGCACGCCATGGTGGCACTGGCACGCACACAGTAAACTGAAGTTTGGTCCTAATGGTGGAGGGTGGATAGTGGTAGCATCTTGTCAGGTTGTATGCTGCTAATATTATTGCACTGTCAAGATTGTTTTTGGCTTTATGCAGATGAGTTGTTTTGGTTGACAAGACGGTGCATACTAATCAACATTTCAGTTTTGCATCTAAAACGTCCTAGTTAGCTAGCTATACCCAGCTAATTTGAATCTGTAGTGTAACAATGTGATAATGAAGGCTCCAGATGCACATAGGTCTTGTTGTTTTGTGGCTGCTCATCTGGATAACCATTATACTCAGTGCTTAGCACTTGAAACGAGCAGCAGCTTTTTGGGAAGCTCTATTCATTTACAGTGGGGAAAAAAAGTATTTAGTCAGCCACCAATTGTGTAAGTTCTCCCACTTAAAAAGATGAGAGAGGCCTGTAATTTTCATCATAGGTACACGTCAACTATGACAGACAAAATGAGGGAAAAAAATCCAGAAAATCACATTGTAGGATTTTTAATGAATTTATTTGCAAATTATGGTGGAAAATAAGTATTTGGTCAATAACAAATGTTTCTCAATACTTTGTTATATACCGTTTGTTGGCAATGACACAGGTCAAACGTTTTCTGTAAGTCTTCACAAGGTTTTCACACACTGTTGCTGGTATTTTGGCCCATTCCTCCATGCAGATGTCCTCTAGAGCAGTGATGTTTTGGGGCTATCGCTGGGCAACACGGACTTTCAACTCCCTCCAAAGATTTTCTATGGGGTTGAGATCTGAAGACTGGCTAGGCCACTCCAGGACCTTGAAATGCTTCTTACGAAGCCACTCCTTCGTTGCCCGGGCGGTGTGTTTTGGATCATTGTCATGCTGAAAGACCCAGCCACGTTTCATCTTCAATGCCCTTGCTGATGGAAGGAGGTTTTCACTCAAAATCTCACGATACATGGCCCCATTCATTCTTTCCTTTACACGGATCAGTCGTCCTGGTCCCTTTGCAGAAAAACAGCCTCAAAGCATGATGTTTCCACCCCCATGCTTCACAGTAGGTATGGTGTTCTTTGGATGCAACTCAGCATTCTTTGTCCTCCAAACACGACGAGTTGAGTTTTTACCAAAAGTTATATTTTGGTTTCATCTGACCATATGACATTCCCCCAATCCTCTTCTGGATCATCCAAATGCACTCTAGCAAACTTCAGACGGGCCTGGACATGTACTGGCTTAAGCAGGGGGACACGTCTGGCACTGCAGGATTTGAGTCCCTAGTAGCGTAGTGTGTTACTGATGGTAGGCTTTGTTACTTTGGTCCCAGCTCTCTGCAGGTCATTCACTAGGTCCCCCCGTGTGGTTCTGGGATTTTTGCTCACCGTTCTTGTGATCCCACGGGGTGAGATCTTGCGTGGAGCCCCAGATCGAGGGAGATTATCAGTGGTCTTGTATGTCTTCCATTTCCTAATAATTGCTCCCACAGTTGATTTCTTCAAACCAAGCTGCTTACCTATTGCAGATTCAGTCTTCCCAGCCTGGTGCAGGTCTACAATTTTGTTTCTGGTGTCCTTTGACAGCTCTTTGGTCTTGGCCATAGTGGAGTTTGGAGTGTGACTGTTTGAGGTTGTGGACAGGTGTCTTTTATACTGATAACAAGTTCAAACAGGTGCCATTAATACAGGTAACTAGTGGAGGACAGAGGAGCCTCTTAAAGAAGAAGTTACAGGTCTGTGAGAGCCAGAAATCTTGCTTGTTTGTAGGTGACCAAATACCTATTTTCCACCATAATTTGCAAATAAATTCATTAAAAATCCTACAATGTGATTTTCTGGAATTTTTTTTCTCATTTTGTCTGTCATAGTTGACGTGTACCTAAGATGAAAATTACAGGCCTCTCTCATCTTTTTAAGTGGGAGAACTTGCACAATTGATGGCTGACTAAATACTTTTTTCCCCCACTGTATCTTATGTTTTAGCGAGACTTTCTCCTCTTGACAGACAGTCATACTAACTTTTTAATGATACAGTGCATTTGGAAAGTATTCAGACCCCTTGACTTTTTCCACATTTTATTAGGTTACAGCCTTATTCTAAAATGGATTACATCGTTTTTTACCCCTCATCAATCTACACACAATACCCCATAATGACAAAGCAAAAACAGGTTTTTAGACATTTTTGCAAATTAAAAAAACTAGCTTAAATATCACATTTACATAAGTATTCAGACCCTTTACTCAGTACTTTGTTGAAGCACCGTTGGCAGCGATTACAGCCTTGAGTTTTCTTGGGTATGACGCTACAAGCTTGGCACACCTGTATTTGGGGAGTTTCTCCCATTCTTCTCTGTAGATCCTTTCAAGCTCTGTCAGGTCGGATGGGGAGCGTCGCTGCACAGCTATTTTCAGGTCTCTCCAGAGATGTTCGATCAGGTTCAAGTCCGGGCTCTGGCTGGGCCACTCAAGGACATTCAGAGACTTGTCCCAAAGCCACTCCTGCTTTGTCTTGGCTGTGTGCTTAGGGTCATTGTCCTGTTGAACCTTCGCTCCAGTCTGAGGTCCTGAGCGCTCTGGAGCAGGTTTTCATGAAGGATCTCTCTGTACTTTGCACCGTTTGTCTTTCCCTCGATCCTGACTAGTCTCCCAGTCCCTGCCGCTGAAAAACACCCCCACAGCATGATGCTGCCACCACCATGCTTCACCATAGGGATGGTGCCAGATTTCCTCCAGACGTGACGCTTGGCATTCAGGCCAAAGAGTTCAATCTTGGTTTCATCAGACCAGGGAAACTTGTTTCTCATGGTCTGAAAGTCCTTTAGGTGCCTTTTGGAAAACTCCAAGCGGGCTGTCGTGCATTTTGCTGAGGAATGGCTTCCGTCTGGCCACTACCATAAAGGCCTGATTGGTGGAGTGCTGCAGAGATGGTTGTCCTGGAAGGTTCTCCCATCTCCACAGAGGAACTCTGGAGCTCTGTCAGTGACCACTGGGTTCTTGGTCACTTCCCTGACCAAGGCCCTTCTCCCCCGATTGCTCAGTTTGGCCGGGCGGCCAGCTCTAGGAAGAGTCTTGGTGGTTCCAAACTTCTTCCATTTAAAGATGATGGAGGCCACTGTGTTCTTCAATGCTGCAGACATTTTTTGGTACCCTTCCCCAGATCTGTGCCTCGACACAATCCTATCTCGGAGCTCTACGGACAATTCCTTGTACCTCATGGCTTGGTTTTGCTCTGACATGCACTGCCAACTGTAGGACCTTATATAGACAGGTGTGTGCCTTTCCAAATCATGTCCAATCAATTGAATTTACCACAGGTGGACTCCAATCAAGTTGTAGAAACATCTCAAGGATGATCAATAGAAACAAGATGCACCTGAGGTCAATTTCGAGTCTCATAGCAAAGGGTCTGAATACTTATGTAAATAAGGTATTTCTGTTTTTTATTTTTAATGCATTTGCAAAAAATTCTAAAAACCTCTTTTTGCTTTTTCATTACGGGTATTGTGTGTAGATTAATGAAGAAATGTTTTAATTTAATCAATTTTAGAATAAGGCTGTAACGTAACAAAATGTGGAAAAGGGAAGGGGTCTGAATACTTTCCGAATGCACTGTATTAGCTGGTGATTGTGTTCTCAACTCTAGCCTGAAGGGACAGCCACAGCTGTTGTTCTACTCTACTGGTAGGGAAGGAAATGGTGTCAGACGGTCTGCAAAATAGTGTTGTAGCTTGTAGTGTTGTAGCCACCATATGTGGTTAAGAATAATAATTAAAATAATAAATGGAGTAAATGGACAACATCTTCAAGTAAATGGAGAGGTTGCATGGATGCTCTTAATCTATTGGTTCACCCAACCCACCTAAGCCTGTAATAAAATGTTCTGCTCTGCTTTAGTGAAGTGAAGACTTGGGAGGCAGACTATGGTATAGTCATCAACCAATAATAATAATAATTATATTTTACCACTATATCCTTTCTGCTAAGCCAGTCGCCTCGCCAGTGAGATGGGAGAGGAGAGCACCTGTTTACCATTACACTACCCTACTAGCCCAGGCACTATGCCACAGGAGAGTGGGGGTTCAGAAGGGAGTGAATTGGCACTGAGGTGGGAAGTCCCTGCCCGAGATATTAATTTGATTGAATTTGTTAGCTGACATTTTTAAGAGACTACACCTTCGACTGAGATAAAAAAAATGTGTAAGCTCAACCATGAGGAATCATATTGCCCTAGATACACCACCTCCATTACGTAACATTTTCCAATGAACGGCACATTTGTCAATTGGTATTCTCCAGGCCAGGGCAACTGTAGTTGGAGCGGGGAGTTCAGCGTAGCAAATTAGGGGTCGCGTCTTGCCGGCCATGTAAAGCGCAGCCTCGTTGTGATAAGTGTTACTCCGACTATCTCGATGTGCTCCTCGTCCCTCTTGGTTGGCGCTCCCAGATTATAAAAGGCTTCAATCAAATCTTAATTGGACGGTCATTAAAACTGCAGTGACTCCAATCCAAGTCGGAGAGTCCAATCGAGGACATTTTACCGTTGTGCTGCTAAATAGAATGTTTAAACAGCTCTTCTGAGTAATTAGAGTGGGGAGTGAAAGCTACTCTCTTGCCCCTTATGATCAGCCATTCTGCAGGCCTACTTACTCTAAGCCCATTCAACCAATTAATGGAATCGATATGGGTTTTAATGAAAGGCAAAGAACCGTGAACTGAAACAGGCCTCAGTCGGTTGTTACAGTTTAGCACTGATAAATTCTAAGGGTACCCTGAGCTTCTCGCAGTCAGAGAGCATTGCTAGTTTTATTTGTTATATATTTGTAAAATAAAAAAGCAGGCCTAAGCTTAATGTGGGGCAATCAATATTTAACATTGTTATAGCCTTTGATGATAATGGAATATGACATTTGAATGCAGAGTCTGTCAATTGTCTACACTGAATTCTGCTATGGGCTTGTTCCTCAAAAGACACCGTTTTTGAATCACCAGCAAGAGATTATGCGGAAATACTCATGCACAAATTGTA